CAGGGTGGGCTCCTCTTTTCAGAGATCCACAGGTCCTGTCAGGAACTGCTCTACAGGGTCACAGGGTCTCAGCCTCCTTTGGGCATCCACTTGCCTCAGTGAGGGTTCCTCCCCACACTGCAGGCGGACATCTGATACACCACAGCCCTCCATGGCCTGCAGGGGCACAGCTGCCTCATCATGGTCCTTACCACAGGCTGCAGGGGAATCCCAGCTCTGGCCCCTGGAGTATTATGACCCTGAGATTAGCTCAGCTGGTTAGAGAATAGTGTTTAACAATACCAAGGTTGTGGGATTGATCCCAAGGTGGGCCATTCACCCAAGTTAAATTTGATGTTCCTTTTGGGTGCCTTAGGATATTCTGTGATCTGAAAATAGCCACCTTCTGCCTCTTCTCCCCTGACCTTAGTGTCTGCAAGAGCTGTTTCTCTCACATATTTCTACTCCTTTCTTCTCAGACTGCAATTACTTCTACACAATAACTTTTTTTCTCTTCTTAACGATGCTATTGCAGAGGTGCTGCCGCTGACAGGCTTGGCCTTAAGCCATCTGGTGCTGGCCCTGTCAGACATGGAGGATGCTTCTTTTCACAAAAGCCACCCTGGAGCATCCTCCACCCCCACAACAAAACCTTGCCACACAATCCAATACAGGTACCCATCACATGTTCCCAATATTATCTTTATCTTTTAGAAAAATACTTAACACACCACTGTCCCACAGCCAGGGAGAAGGGAGTTTTAAATCACCTTTACAGCACTTTTCCACAGGGGTGGAAAACCTATTAATCCAGGAAGAGAGACTTGTCATCAGGATGTTTTCTTGAAGGCAATGCCATGGTCTCCTGAGCTAGTAGATGGGGACAGGGAGCAGAATAGCCCCCCTGTAACCCAGGAGGAAGCAGTTAGTGACCTGCTGAGCCACTTAGATGCTCACAAGTCTATGGGACCAGATGGGATCCATCCTAGAGTGATGAGGGAGTTGGCAGATGAGCTTGCCAAGCCGCTCTCCATCATTTACCATCAGTCCTGGCTCCCTGGGGAGGTCCCAGATAACTCAAGGTTATCCAATGTTAACCCATCCATAAGAAGGGCCAGAGGATCTGGGAAACTACAGGCCTTGTCAGTCTGACCTCACTGCCAGGCAAGTTTATGGAACAGATCATCTTGAGTAAAACCACACTTCACCTACAGGATGCCCAAGCAATCAGACCCAGCCAGCAGGGATTTTGAAGGGGCAGGGCTTGCCTGACCAACCTTATTTCCCTTTAGGAACAGGGGACCTGCCTGGTATCTGAGGGAGAAGCTGTGGATGTTGTCAGCCCGGACTAGTGAAGGCTCTGGAGCACAGGTCCCATGAGGAGTGGCTGAGGGAGCTGGGGGTGTTTAGCCTGCAGAGGAGGAGGCTCAGGGCAGACCTTGCCACTCTCTATGGCTACCTGAAAGGAGGGTGCAGCCAGGTGAGGGGTGGCACCCTCTCCCAGGCAGCCAGCAATAGCACAAGACACAGGCTGTGGAAGAGGAGGTTTAGGCTGGACATTAGGAAGAAGTTCTTCCACTGAAAGAGTGATTAAATAATGGAATGGGCTGCCCGGGGAGGTAGTGGAGTCACTGTCCCTGGAGGTGTTTCAGAAAAAATTGTATGTGGCACTTAGTGCCATGGCCTAATTGACAAAGTAGTGTTCGGTCATAGATAGGACTCAATGATCTTAAAGGTCATTTCCAACCTAGTTGATTCTGCGAAATAGAATGTGAAATTTAATTTAAGTGTGAAATTTAATTTAAGTGTGAATTTTTTTTAAGAGTGCAGAGCATAGGTTTTCTGGGAACGTCACTGACAAACTGAGATTGCGTTACCTTGCAGTTACCGAAGAGGAGCAGGTGTCAATCCAGCAATCCTGCAATCCGGGGTGCGAGCTGCGCACTTCCGCGCAGCAAGGGCGGAGGC